AAAAACATCAAAACTCACTCAGCAATCAGCGATTTTGACCGCAAATCTCAGGGACTGCAGAGCTGTCACCACCATGACCGGCATCGCCCCAAGTCACCAGCCTCTCACCTCCACAGCGCCATAGGGCGAAGGCCAGGTCGGTTGAGGCCATTTTGAGTTGCACTGCCAGCGCGGTGACGCTGTCGCCCTGCAGCGCAGTTGTCAGAGACTCATCAGGGTCCTCCAACAGCTGACCGGCTGAAACAAACTTTAAGAAGTGACGAATCCCAAGGGATTTCTGTGCTAAGATCCGCAAATCCCTTACTTTGGAGGACTCCGGAAGTGATAAAATCTCATTGCGACCGCTTGGTAAAAGCACATTCACATGAAGCATCTGAAATCTCGCGGAGACTCATTGTCATGAGGCGAGCCATCTCGAGCCAAACGCCTCTTGTGTCGAGTTTGGATATTTGATAAATGTTCTTGACCTACTCGCAGGTGACTTGGTGGGTCGATTCTTGCACACACAAAAGTAATAAGGCCATATAAGGCCCATGACTGCAGTTATGTCACCATCAGGTGAATATGAAACCTCTTAGCCAACTCTTAAAACCATTCACCAAGATTCCTCCCTCCATCTCTGACTTTCAGCGGAATTAGCACACAATCACCAGGCCTTTAATTTTAAGCGTGGGAGTGAAGTAGAGCTACGATTTCTTTCTGAAGCACCTCCTGGATCAACAGAGAACGGGTTTCTATGTGGGATCCACCGCTGTCACCACTGCCGTCACCATCCCAACCATAAAAGGGCTGGTTTTTTTTCCATCCCAAAGAGAGGATGAGTCTACCCAATTTCATAAACCTCAATTGAGGATGGTTTATGGCATTGGGTTTACCATATTCATGCTGTTTATGGGATTATTTTTCATCAAATCCCATGAGCAATCCCAGTAAATTAATGAGGTTCCGTTCTTTCCCATAAAATAGTTTGTATGTTTTTCCTTCATGGGATTAACATCGATTAACATCTTATCAACATCTGCCAAACACATCCCAGAAAACCAAGCAGCTGAAGAAGCTTCCATTCAGCTGCTGCCCAAAGAGTCGCGTGTCCATCTGACACGCCTTCCGCGGCAAACGCACAACGTGCGCGTTGTGTTTTTTCAAGTCGCGTCGCGTGTCTGGAAGATCATGAGGCGATAACGTGTGATATAACGAGGAATACCTAATCTCTCTCTCTCTATGTGTATATATATATATATTACACATAATATATATATATATATCATCTATATATATATATATACATACCTGCAACATCCACCTGTGCCAAATTTTGGTCTCTTAGCAAAGAGTACAAAAATTCAGCCCTTAAAATAATTAACGCCCCTGGCAGATTTGGGCTAAGGGGCAAAAAATGAGACCCTCAGGAACATCTAGGTACATATAATTTCATGTTAGGTCAAGTTCCAATGAAAAAGTAATATAAAGTAATACTACACACATATGAAAGTTGGCCCTTTGTCCCATCACCACCAGTCACCACAAAGACCATCACGTCTCTTTGTCCGGTCACGCCTGCGCGGGGTAGGCGTTGTTCATGGCATTGTAAGGGATGTTGAAGCCAACCTAAGGAAAACAGTCAAAGATAGGACCGCCGAGGCCACGGCTGGGTGAAATGTCAGATGTCTTTTTTCATCAACCAACAGGGTGAACTCTGTGCATTCTTCACAACTGTGATATGCACCATGTAAGATCCATGCCATCTGAGACAGTGTTTCTCAGCAGGTTCATGAAAATGTGATATGGATATATTCATATACCCTACGAGCACCGTGCTTAAGTCACATCAGGCGGGAAAAGGCACATCATCCCCATGAAGCTGATACGACTTAACCCTAGCACTTGTATCTCTGGCAAGTTTTGGGTTTCGGGTGTGTTCATCACGATGTGGACATGACAATGGACCCGAATGGACCCATTCACCCGGCCTAAGCAATGGTTATAGCAAGCCCTACGCAAAAATGGAAATCTTTCTTCAGGTAATAGGGTCATTTAATATGTTTAATGTCATTAAGCCACCATTCCCATGCTGCCAAAGTTTGATCCTTACTTCTCCGTTGCAGCACTAGAATCTAGTCACTTCCGACCGATTTCCGTTGTTGGGGACCATAGAAATTTCAAATCTTCCCCATTCGATTCCCCATTCACATACCATGAGAAAATAACTGGTTGGTGGTTGACCTACCCCTCTGAAAAATATGATTTCGTCAGGTGGGATGATGACATTCCCAACTGAATGGAAAAATAAAATTCATGTTCCACACCACCAAACAGATCAACAATCATCCCATAATCATCCCATCACAGCCAGCAGCGTTGATGCAAATGATGGTGGGAATGCAGTCCAAAGCGCCTCTGACCTTAGCGAAGGAGAGGTGACAGCGACATTTGGGGGTTTCCATACATGGAGGTACCCCAAAATGGATGGTTTATCTTTTAAAAAATATTAAAAATTGAT